CGCTATAAAACGACATATCTCCCATCTCTCCCATCTGACATGTGGTCGCCATAATTTTGGCGGCAGTATTTCGCTGTAAATCGAAATGCCATCATTTTGGAGAGAAGGGAGATATGTCGCTATAAAACGACATAATCTCGCCATTTTGGAAGATTAACGGAGATATGTCGCTATAAAACGACATACTCTCGTCATAATCAACGTGGGACCTTCGTCTTAATCTTGCCATCATTTTGGAGAGAAGGGAGATATGTCGCTATAAAACGACATATCTCCCATCTCTCCCATCTGACATGTGGTCGCCATAATTTTGGCGGAAGTATTTCGCTGTAAATCGAAATGCCATCATTTTGGAGAGATGGGAGATATGTCGCTATAAAACGACATATCTCCCATCTCTCCCATCTGACATGTGGTCGCCATAATTTTGGCGGAAGTATTTCGCTGTAAATCGAAATACCATCATTTTGTAGAGAAGGAAGATATGTCGCTATAAAACGACATAATCTCGCCATTTTGGAAGATTGACGGCGATATGTCGCTATAAAACGACATACTCTCGTCCTAATCAACGCGGGACCTTCGTCTTAATCTTGCCATCATCTTGGAGAGATGGGAGATATGTCGTTTTATAGCGACATATCTCCCATCTATCCCATCTGACATGTGGTCGCCATAATTTTGGCGGAGATATTTCGCTGTAAATCGAAATGCCATCATTTTGGAAAGAAGGGAGATATGTCGCTATAAAACGACATAATCTCGCCATTTTGGAAGATTGACGGAAATATGTCGCTATAAAACGACATACTCTCGTCATAATCAACGCGGGACCTTCGTCTTAATCTTGCCATCATCTTGGAGAGATGGGAGATATGTCGCTATAAAACGACATGAGCTCGCCATAAATTGGCGGAAGTATGTCGCTATAAATCGTCTTAATCTTGCCATCATTTTGGAGAGATGGGAGATATGTCGCTATAAAACGACATATCTCCCATCTCACCCATCTGACATGTGGTCGCCATAATTTTGGCGGAAGTATTTCGCTGTAAATCGAAATGCCATCATTTTGGAGAGAAGGGAGATTGTCGCTATAAAACGACATAATCTCGCCATTTTGGAAGATTGACGGAGATATGTCCTTATAAAACGACATACTCTCGTCATAATCAACGCGGGACCTTCGTGTTAATATTGCCATCATCTTGGAGAGATGTGAGATATGTCGCTATAAAACGACATATCTCCCATCTGACATGTGGTCGCAATAATTTTGGCGGAAGTATTTCGCTGTAAATCGAAATGCCATCATTTTGGAGAGATGGGAGATATGTCGCTATAATACGACATAATCTCGCCATTTTGGAAGATTGACGGAGATATGTTGCTATAAAACGACATACTCTCGTCATAATCAACGCGGGACCTTCGTCTTAGTCTTGCCATCATCTTGGAGAGATATGTCGCTATAAAACGACATAAATTGGCGGAAGTATGTCGCTATAAATCGTCTTAATCTTGCCATCATTTTGGAGAGAAAGGAGATATGTCGCTATAAAACGACATATCTCCCATCTCACCCATCTGACATGTGGTCGCCATAATTTTGGCGGAAGTATGTCGCTATAAATCGTCTTATTCTTGCCATCATATTGGAGACAAGGGAGATATGTCGCTATAAAACGACACATCTCCCATCTCACCCATCTGACATGTGGTCGCCATGATTTTGGCGGAAGTATTTCGCTGTATGTCGAAATGCCATCATTTTGGAAAGAAGGGAGATATAATCTCGCCATTTTGGAAGATTGACGGAGATATGTCGCTATAAAACGACATACTCTCGTCATAATCAACGCGGGACCTTCGTCTTAATCTTGCCATCATCTTGGAGAGATGGGAGATATGTCGCTATAAAACGACATGAGCTCGCCATAAATTGGCGGAAGTATGTCGTTATAAATCGTCTTAATCTTGCCATCATTTTGGAGAGAAGGGAGATATGTCGCTATAAAACGACATATCTCCCATCTCTCCCATCTGACATGTGGTTGCCATAATTTTGGCGGAAGTATGTCGCTATAAATCGCCTTAATCTTGCCATCATCTTGGAGAGATGGGAGATATTTCGCTATAAAACGACATGAGCTCGCCATAATTTTGGCGGAAGCATGTCGCTATAAATCGTCTTAATCTTGCCATCATCTTGGAGAGATATAGAACGACATATTTTGCTGCAGCATATCTTACCCAAATTTTCACATTCTAAAAACACTAAGGTCCCGCGATGATTATGACGAGAGTATGTCGTTTTGTAGCGACATATCTCCGTCAATCTTCCAAAATGGCGAGATTATGTCGTTTTATAGCGACATATCTCCCTTCTCTCCAAAATGATGGCAAGATTAAGACGTTTTATAGCGACATACTTCCGCCATTTTGGAAGGAAGGCAGAGATAAGTCGCTATAAAATGACATGAGCTCGCCATAATTTTGTCGGAAGCATGTCTTATCTTGCCATGATCGACGGCGGAGATATGAAACAACTTAATCTTGTTTAATCTCGCTATAAAACATATAAAACATAAAACCCAAAAAACATAATCATGCAATCATAACTGCAAGCCAATATTATATTCTTTTGGAAATAGATAACTAATTGAGTTTATTAATGGATGAATTTGTACAAATAACTACAAAAAAATACAGTAAAACTACGCTTTAATACGTTAGAGTAGCCCGTGTTGAGCCCAGCTTATTCTGCGTTTTCAGAGGTGTTTAATAAAGCGAACATGCTCGATGAAATTCTATGTATGAATCGGGTCCCTAAACACTTAGATGTATTACCCATAGGAACCAAGTTAAAAGGGCGGTGGCATAACGAAGAGGGGCCAGGGGCGGGTGCCGTGGGTTGGTTTTGGTCAAATGACTTTGTCGACGCATAAGTAGCTGTGAAATTAACGCTGAAAAATTTTAGTGGCAAATGCGTGCGAATGCGCAAATGAGCAAGCGAGAGGGCTTAACAAAGACCCACCCCCACCCCCGCTGCGAGTGGGGTCAAGGAGGCTAAGGATAAGCTGAATGTCCCCCTGGCTGGCTGTGAGTGTGTGCGTGGCAAAATGCTTATCCTCGATTGGGCAGCGTGAAAACAGAAATTACATTTAATGGTTATAAATTGGAAACTGACTAAATGAAATGCGTAAATATTGACTTATTGAATGGAGTGTGCGCTGCGACTGCGGCTGCGGCGGCTGTTTGCTGAGGGTCACTTCAAATTACATTATTGGCCACGAACCGCAAGCGAAAGCCACAGCCAGAGACGCACACACACACACACACACACACACACACACACACACACACACACACACACCACACACACACACACACACACACACACACCACACACACACACACACACACACACACACACACACACACACACACACACACACACACACACACACACACACACACACACACACACACACACACACACACACACAACACACACACACACACACACACACACACACACACACACACACACACACACACACACACACACACACACACACACACACACACACACACACACACACACACACACACACACACACACACACACACACACAACACACACACACACACACACACACACACACACACACACACACACACACACACACACACACACACACACACACACACACACACACACACACACACACACACACACACACACACACACACACACACACACACACACACACACACACACACACACACACACACACACACACACACACACACACACACACACACACACACACACACACACACACACACACACACACACACACACACACACACACACACACACACACACACACACACACACACACACACACACACACACACACACACACACACACACACACACACACACACACACACACACACACACACACACACACACACACACACACACGCACACACACACACACGCGCACACCCAGCCTCTGCACTTTGGGATTTGACAGCGCTAATTTGTTGATTTGCTGTGTTTGATTTTTGCTGCTTATTTTCTTCTTCTTTATATTCTAAATGCCTTTTTTTCTATCTGTCTAATACTTGCTGTTGTTGTTGTTGTCATTAGCAAGTCAACTCTGCGCTGAGCTGCTTTAAGCGCTAGGCAAAGTTTTGCGCTCTAATGAGCTTATACTCTAATGGCAGCAGGCCAGCAGCACCCACCCCCCCCCCCCCCCACACACACACACACACACAAAAAAAGGGAGTCACTGACAGTGACAGTGGCTGAAGGGTGGGGCGAAGGGAGCCGCACCGAAATTAAAACGAACCCCAGGAAGTAATTATAATTGTTCTCGACATGATTTTTGGCATGCTAATTGAATTGTACAGTCGGAGATTTTTTTTTTTTTTTTTTTTTTTTTTTTTTTTTTTTTTGGCTTTTCTTGGCCACAATTAATGGTAGTTGGTTAAAATAATGTTTTGGCCTTTGCTGGCCCTGCGGTCCTTTTGGTTCAGGTCCAAAAAAGAGAAGCAATTACAAATTGAAATGGCAATGCAAAAAATAGGATAGAGTACTCTAGGCGTTATTCCCTCATACAAACATGCACGCAAAATATGATCTTGGTTAACTACGGCATCGACAGTCAGATCTTGATAAAAGTTGCAGGAATTTAAATATGGCAGATGAAATAGTGTTAAAAGCAAAGCACAAGGCGCTAAGTTTGGTTCGTATAGCTCTTACAATTTTCGAGTTATGCCTAAGAAACCAGTTTCCCAATCGATATTTATCGATATTTAAGAAATAAAAAGTTTATATAGAACAATATATATAAATTTTAACGTCTCTAGATGTACTCGTTGTAGATAGATGTATACTCCACAAATTTGGAGATGTTTCCCATTTCCCTATTTCACACATTTCAACGAACTATTCTTAGACCTTTTTTTACCATTTTTCTTTACAGTCTTTGCTGTTTGCAGGCCGACAAAAACTAAGCTGCAATATTTAAAAATATTCAACAAACGTTCGATAACTAAGTGCACAGAGCTTAAAATCAATTCAAGTTTTTGATCAAATTGAATTGCCAAAGACAAACTAAGGCCAAAGAGATACTGCGCGTATTCAAGTTTCAACTGTGAAAGGACTAGAAGAAATCCTTAGCACACAACTTGGCATTGAGCTAAGTCAAGTGTAAGCTGTTATTGGTTTGGGCAAACACAACCACAAATGAGAGCCCCTTAAATGGTTTGAAGCGAAACCCAAAGCATGCCCTCTCAAATGCACATCAATATGGAGCAATTACTTCAACTACAACAAGAACAAGCCAAGGAAGAGATGGCCCAAATCGAAGCCTCATTTCAGACGAAAATAAAAATCTATTCGGATCCAAAGAGGGGAACAAGTGGCGACGGCAATGACAACGGGTTATAAACAAACGGCTCATATTGAAAAGAAAGTACCATATACACAACTAATACACCCATTACACACGCACACACACACGCACACGCAGTCAGACAGAGATATGTATAGTCAATCCCCGAACGAATTTGTGTCATAAATAGAGGAGAATCGCATAGGGAGGCGACACATTAAGATAGACATATGCGACGCGTCTGGCAGGCCCAAAAATCGAGTTGAGTTTATCTGCGCATCTAACTGAGCTACACATCTGTGTGCCTGTGTGTGTCTGTCTGTGTGTGTGTGTGTGTTTATGTTTATGTGTATCCGTCTGTGTGTAGGTCATAGCCATATAATAAATCGAAGTCACGACAAATATAAATAATAAAATTTATTTTATTTCTATATAGAAATTTCGTTTTTTTTTTTGGTCCCCTTCCTTTTTTGTTTTTTGCATTTCAACGTACGTTCAGTACATAAATCCTGAGCTTAGCAGCGGACAGGACCCCAAACAAGCGCCCGCAACAGCGCAAACGTCGAAGGACACAAAAAAAAAAAAATAATAATAATAAATATAGAAAACAGAAAATTTTTTGGGCGCCTGAAACAACAGACACGAGCCGCAGAATTCTGGGGGCTGATTGGGCTCGCATGAATATTGTTTGTGCATACACATATATACACATCTAGATGTGTGTGTGTGTGTGTACAAAAAGTGAAAAACAAAAAGGAAAAGCGCTGCGAAAAAATATATAACAATAACAAATCCAATATTAGATGGCCATAACAAGAATGCGTTCAAGTACGAGCCAGCGCACTCGCACTGGCGCCTCTCTCCACAAGTTGTAGCCGGGAGCCGCTCTAGAGCCACCCTAGAGCCACCCTAGCGTGGTGCCTAGTCGCAGCGCTCGCACTGTTTTGCAAAGGTTTTGCGTTTGTCTCCACAAAAGGCGGCAGGCGCACAATTTTTGGGCTATTTGCTATTTGCGAGGGTCTGAACCAGCGCACACACAATAAAAACACAAGTGGCCGTGTGGGCGTTTGGGCAAGTGGGCAAGTGGGCAAGTGGGCAAGTGGGCGAGTGGGCGTAGCTTGAAACGAAAGTGGAAACGTAAAACAAGCTGTGAACAAGCTGTATGGAACGCATGTGCTGCAATTTTGGTCTGACAGAGGCTGGCAACAATCCATTCCAAAACGGAGCAGAACAACAAAAAATAAAGTTATCAGAAAAACCAAGGAATGTGCAATGGCTGAAGCAAACCACTCGAATTGAGTCAAATTACTTGGCATTCGGAATGGGATTACTTATGGGCATTGAATTGAAAACAATTTGTCCAGATTTCAACATATCGCCGTACAAAGCTAATATTGTTGCATGAAATATTTGACATAGTACAGTAGATAATGGCATTCGCTTAGGATTATTATGGCTATTTTACCCCGGGGATCAGTACACTTATTTTCTAATGAATAGAGAAATAAGATTGCGGTTGTGGACAAAAAAATATGCAATTTAACTAGACATTAGACCAATATTCAGCTCAATCTGCATGTGAAGCAAAGCTTATTTCAAGAATTCAAAAAAATGTCTCATTTGAATTCAGTCAAATTTGTCCTCGTTATTATTTAGCTGTCATAGAAATAATCTTGTGATAAGTCGATTCTTGTATAGAAAACTTTATCGAGATACTTTGACCAAACAATATTTCAACAAAATATTTAAGTGTGAAAAAGTTCCTCTAATCCTCTTATTCAATGCGGATGCTAAACAAAGAAGTGGCATACAAACGTTTTTCACTTATTTTTCACACTTGCGGGTGGAATTAACCAAAACCCCGTCTTAGCGTGATCACCAGATCAAACAGTTTTCTATATAGAGATTGATATGAAACAGGAAGTAAGTAAAGTAATGTGGGCTTTCAATCATTATTGAACATTTGTTTTCTCTGCGAATTCAACTTAAATTCTTCATTATTCAAATTGATTTTGATGAATCAGAAAATTTTCCTCAGCCTTTCTTTGCTCACAAACAATAAAGAGAACATTTATATGATTAATAAATAATAATGAAATTACAAAACGGAAAAAACTTGAATTGCTTATAAAACACATCGTATTGACAGCTCGAGAATGTTTCGAAATAATTTCATTTATTCTAGAGCTAATTAGCTGCAGGTTTAACTGGCTCGATAAAATAATTCTATGGCACCCAAAAACCGCTCCACTAGAAAATAGGCAATAAAATATAATGCTGTTGCGACCCAAACAAAACAAAAAAAAAAAGGTATAAAGAATAAAGAAACCCCAAGCCGAACTAATTGCAAACCATTTTGGGGTCGAGCAATGTGTGATAAACTTTCAGCTGAGCTGCCGACATGCGAGGTTCCGACTTACATAAGTGTGGGCCAAATGGAGGGGACGGAGGCAACAATATGCCTAACGAGTATGACACCCACATACACACAGAGTGAGCTAGGGAGAGAGAGAGAGTGAGAGGGAGAGAGCGAGCGAGACAGAGAAACGTTGCCCAACAAACGCAACGACCCATCGACCCGAGAACCGAGCATTAACTATGCCAAGTGTTGCAAAGTGTATCTAAATTTTCTGCACTAACACCCAAAATCTAATTTATATCACGTTAATGAGCTTTTACGTCAAATTTTTTGGGCTGCGGCAGAGGCACAAAACTTTGGGCCAGCCCGCAACAAGGCGGGTTAACACAGCGGGCCACAGCCAAAGTCGAGTGGGTTCCATGGGCCAGTCGAATGGGGCAGAACTGTCAACTGTAAAAAGTTGGCCGGCTTATCAAACGAAATTTGCGGCAATAAAACGAAGCAAAACGAAACGAAATGGAACGAAACGAAATGGAATGGAATGCCATGGAATGGAATGCGGGAGGAAGATGGGATAGAGCGAGATGGGGGCAGAGCGGAATGCGGAGCTAGCTGCCACAACTGTGCGTCGTGTGAGTGGCAGCACGTGGAGCGTCTCATGTCTAAGCCAATAAACGAAAGGTTATTTAATATTTGGCTACAGCTTTTGAGCACCTCCCAGCCACACCCCCATGCCCCTCACTGCTCAGGCAACCTCTAACATTTATTTCACTAACAACTTAGCCAACTTGGCACTTTTGTTTTTGCTGTTTGTTTATTTTTTTTGTTTTTCGTTATTTTTGTTTCTTCATAAGAAACATCAAAGCCGTGTGGGCGTGGCTAGTGGGCGGTTAGCAACAGAGCGTGGGATGTGGACACAGTTTCTTATACACTTACATAGGGTCCATTAACTACGTCACGAAGAAGATATCTCTGGCTGTGAAAAGTTTATCTATATTCATGATCGACATATTGATTCTATATGGCACATGGCATATAGCATATAGCATATAGCATATAGCATATAGCATATAGCATATCTCAGTGCATCTGTTCATTTGTCTGTCAGTCTTAAGACTATTTCATGTAGATTTCTTTTTGGTATCGGATTACCATATTATAAAGCTGCCATAGCTATGTTCTTGCACAAATAAATTCACTGTCTTCCAAAGTATCGCGACCTTTATCCTGAGGCTCTACAGAAAGAATCGATACGAAAATGAGTTTCGATCTGAAAGAACTTTCTGCTTTTCAAGATATGTTCAACAGGCTTAGCAATGTTGAGCTTTGCAATTCTACGCACATGACTGAAACCCCGTTAAGAGTGTTTAAAATTCGGTTTTAAAGGTCCTTTTTTTTTGAGTTGAGTTTGCCGTAGATATCATGCGGGCGAATATTAAACAAATCTCGGCGAACGCATTGCAGAAAGTTGTCAACTTGCGCCGATAACACGCCCCATGCCCAACGCCCACAAATATCCACCGATACCCCCTCCCCCCCCCCCCACTCACGCTCCTAACCAAGCAGCAGCGCCTCTGTGTTGTTTCTTTTGTTTTGGCAACAAGCGAAAAGGCAAAACATTGGCAAATTTAAATGCAAATTACGAGGCAGAGTGAAAGAAAACAGCATGCGCAGCCGAAGGGCTGCCAGCCGAATGGGTGGGAGGAGGAGAGGAGTCAGCGGGGTGGCTGCTGAAAAAGTATAGACTGTTTGTGAAATTATGGCGCTATCAAAGTCGCCCAAGAAGCGAGAGCCGGAGCGGCGAGCGACGGAGGTGAACGTACAGACAGGTGCCCCTTTGGGCCAAGCTAAGCAAAAGCAATGCAACTAAGCTGTCGCGCCCACAATACGCCCACATCACACACACACACACACACACACACACACAGAATTGCACGTAAAAAGCGAGTGTTACATGTAATTTGAGAAATCGCATTATTACTTAAATCAAATATGCCGCGATAAACAGGCTAACAAGCTGGCGAAAACATAAAATATCTTAACAAATTAGATGGCACAGACTTGGGGAGCAAACCTTTATGGAACCGCTAAAGGGATATACGAATATTGGCTATGAGCATGGAATACAGTAATAGGCTATGAAAGACATAAGATTGAAGTATTTTATGGTACGATCATGTGATATGTTAGCCAGGCGGAACGGCTGGGGCTAGCGAGCGGCACATATTGGAAATGTTATGAGAACGACGGACATGCCCAACTAGAAGATATCCTGTGATCACCAACTAGCTGCCACTACAAGCATTCGCGGTTTCTTCTATAGACGTTAAATATAAAAGATAAGTTTATAGAATTCT